ATTCTCTCTCTCTCTTTTTCTAAACTAGCCTTTTCTCAAATAAAAATTCCGCATTCACAAGATCTAGAAACACTTAGCCATATTCGAAGTTGCCTTCGCCCTAGACGTGAAAGGTTTTAATTTCTGAGGGTTTGGTCCCAAATCTTTCTTTCAATTATTTAATTTAATTGTTTTGATTTATTATTTCCTTGAAGTTACTAACGTGTGTATTTTGTTATTAGAAAGAGGTACGAGGCATCAAAGTAAGTACTTTAATTGATTAATTGATATTATGATGTAGAAATCATGTTTATATTGTTATTATGATATTCCTAGTATCATGTCTAGGTTATATTTAATATCAAATATGATTGTTATGATGCTTCCTATGTTCTTCCTAATATTAATTCATGTTAGTATCATACATGTTAGGGTTAAAGATTTGATTTTTATTGCTTAGTGACATGCTAGGGTTTGTTATTAATCTTGTTAGTATCATGCCTAGGATCTTGATATGTTTATTATGCCATAATATTAACATGAACATGATAATTATTATAATTGTTATTATTTATGATTATTATTATTATTTTGATGATGATTATTATTTTATGATTATTATAATTATTATTCATGACATTCATTAATATACTGCTTGATGCTTATTATTTATTGCTTGATCACACCTTTTTATGTATGCTTAAAGGGAATTTGTACTTGTAATCACGCTTAATAAGATGATTAATAATCTTGTTAGGTTAACTGTAATTATAATTCAAGTGATCGCCAATAATAGTTTGTTTGTGCATTAATGTTCAACCAACATAGATTAAACAGGTTTAGGGTTGAACCTATTGATTGCATGTTAATCAGAAAGCGTACATGAATACGAGCAGAATAAAGTAGAGGCCTATTATTAGGGCAGGTTCAATCTCTTTTAGGTTGGATTTGTACCATCATCCCCGAACCCTTATTTGGTTCATGACCTTATGGAGTTGACGATCTCTTGGATCGTTAAGGGGTGTAACCTTCACCTCGTGAACGGTTTACAAGTTCCTTAAAAACTTGTTGGCGACTCTTTTGTTCTATCTTCTTCCCTTTTGGACGCCACCGTACTTTAGTGTATGATCACAGTGGGGTTCAAGCTAGTGGGATTTTAAAGGCTTGAAACTATTCCCTACACAGCGTGTGGCAGGTGCTACTCTCGAACATGCACTTTCCACCTTAGCGCAAGACGAAAAGTTGCACGCAATACTGTTCTCGATTATGATGATTCATTACGTAATTTTTAATCGAACTAATGATATTACTTCCCATATGGTTCGTCATTAGAAGTTCGCATCCCTTAATAGGACGTCATCAATATTCCCATTTTTAAACATGTCCATTTTCGTGTTCATCATTTTTTTTAGTTGTAATTGATCAACCTTGATTTAAAAGTATAATTTATTTATATCTTCTATGGTTTAAAAAGAAAATCCTGAGAACCTTACTGGGATGATTGTCTCACATGAAAAAAAAAAGAGAAATAGAATGAAAGAAAAAAAGAAAAATTGTTCTTAAAAAAAAGAGTATGATACAAAAAAGAGAGAAGATAATGAATGATGAAATCGAGAAAATGATATAATTAATTCTTGGATTTTACATTCGAAGGCCATCATTCTTTTTAAGAATATAGTAATATATTATCCTTTAAAGATGAGCAATATGAGAATCATAATTAAAAAACGATATAGATCTCTATTGTAATCTAAATGATCAACTTATACCAAAGTATATTTGATCATTTTAAGGAGTGTGTTTGGGTCGATTGATATTTCTAAAATTTGATGAGCATTTTTCAATCCAACTTTCTTGTCTTTCTCTTCTACCTTTTTCGAAAATAATTTATTTAAAGTAAAATCCTTAGATGATTACCTTATTGAAGTCAACACAAATCATGACATTCCATTAACGATTGTTCGTGAATTTTTTGACATTCTTCATCAACAAACTTGCTTAAAGTGAATTCGTATTACAAGGATTAAAAAAAAAGCAATAAAACAATCATTTTGACTTTAATTCATTATTTGAATGCTTGGCAGAAAAGATTTAAAACGTTCTCAATTTCTTGTGATACACATTACTAGATCATATTCCACATTCGCATACTAGTCCAATCATGGGTAACAAATCAGCATTGGAGAAACTTAGAAAGGAACTCCAAAACCTTAAGGCCCTACATGAAGAAGAAGCCCAAATGAAGGCTCATAAAAATGCAGTAAAGGCTAAAATAAAAGAAGAAAAAGAAAAAGAAAACATTCTACAAGAAAAAGCAAGAGCCGAAAGAGTAGAGGTCTTGGAGAAACTTGTCCTTGAGCTAGCTTAGAGAATAAGTACTTCAAGTATGAGCTTGCACCACAACCTAGTGGCAAGACTCTCCCAGAAAAGTTCTTGACTACGGATTTGTCAATCTTTCAGGTTACAAACAATCCTAGGACTCACTTAATGAGCTTTATTGAAATTGAAAGGGGTTGAGCATAGCTTATATGCATGTACTTTTCCTCTTTCATTGGACCCAACTGTTAGATCATGGTTTTATAATCTCGATGCAAAACAAACTTCCACTTGGAGTGACATTGTAAAAGCATTTTTATCCCAATATGGAGACAACATCGAGCTCACAACTATCTTGCGCAATAATCTTGAATTGCTTAAGCAAGAGGAAGAATAAGGCTTTACTGACTTCTTTTTCAGATGGCGATCAAAGGTTGCTCTTCTTTCACAAAGACCTCCGGATTATGAACTTGTCCCAAAGTTCATAGACGATATGTCTCCACCATACAAGTGTCATTTAAAATACCTTAGTTTAGACACATTTCAAAAGGTCTATACTATGGGAACATTAATTGAAAGGGACTTGATAAATGAAACCATGAATCATATAGATGGACTAGATTTTTAGAGAGGATTTCACCTACGCTGGAAACGGACAAAGCTCGAAGACGCAATCTCAAGAAATTGGTAACAATTCAAGATGTAGCACCTTAGGTCTTGTTTTGTTTCTTTCCTTTTATGATAAACTAAGAGATCCATGCTGTCAAATCTATTTATTTTGTACTCTCATTAATTAATGAATAAAAAATTATATTATCAAGTACGTCCATCTTGTTCTATTTTCATTCTCTTTATTATTATTAACTCAAATTAAATGAAACATATATATACAAACAGGCAATATCAAAAGGCATACATACTTAAAACTTTAAGAATCTTGATGAGTTTTGGCTTACTATATTTATCGAATGAAAAGAGGCCCATCTTTGGCCCACAAAGAAAGGATATGATGATTTCACCAACATAGGAGGCAACTTGAAACTCCACAAAGATAATCCAATGTTCTTAACCTTAGAGAAAATCCATCTTTTTGGCAGCCCTTTTGAGCCTCGTCAGTTGAGCCTTAGTTATTCAACCTACATTATTCCATACCTTGGGATGAGAATGGTGCAAAGAGACACAAATAGGAAATTGAGGGAGCAAAACATAAAAGGGGGACACAAAGTTAGTCTAAACCCAAAGAGCCAATGGAAAAGAAAGAAAAAATCATTCTAAACTTAAAACAAAACTTGTCAAAAAAAAGAAAGGAAAAAAAAAAGAGATAGAGGGCAAGGAAAAGGCACCGAATGTAGGATTTTCCACACAAAGAAAAAAGGTTTTAATTTGAGAAGCACTAAAAGTAAAGGATTTTGGGAGTATACTTGAGTCTGTCCATTCTTCATAACCCCAAGCCTAGCCACGTTACAACCTTGGAAAGGCCCTCCTTAAGGTAGACCCTTGACAAGGGAATACACGCGTCGTCAAATGTCGATCCTAGATCAAATACAATTTATACAACCTAAACAAACCTAATACGAGTATAAGGCAAGCATAGGGGTCGAACCACAGGGAACAAATAAACAACACCAAATATTATCGACAACTAAGCTAATCAGGAATAGGAGGTAAGTAAACTAAAGTCTAGAGAGGTTAAAACAAGAAATAAAACACTAAGGGAAACAGTTTAGGTATAACATTCACTCAAACATAAACAAAGGCATAGAAGTTGAATTAATCATGAACTAAACATGCATGAATATCGATATAAGGGGTCCAATCTAGCCACCTTTCGGGGTCAATTGGCTTCTCCTAACATAGCCTCTATGCTTCCACATTAGAACCATATACTAGGAGGTGCTATCAAATAACAATCGATACAAATGAATCTTGCTAGGTCCGCTATCGCATCTTCTAAAAATAATTCACTCCCCATCGACTAACAACATGCATTTTGCAAGTAGATTGAAGTATATCAAGCATATAAAGACTTTAGTCACAAACAAATCAATTCTAATCCCTAGAACATGCTCCATATTTAACTAAACCACAACCATCCCTTAATGGAAAATTACCCACTAATCATGCCAACAACAAGATTAATTAATAAATAACCAAGCATTAACATAATTAACAAGCAATACTAACAAATAAAACAAGAATAAATTAGCAAGTAAAGAGTAAAGAGATGCTCATTGATTGAAGTTGAAGGTCTACAGAGAGCTTGATTAAGCTTCTTCTTCAAAATCCAAGATCAACAATATAGAAACCCTCACTTTCTCTCTCTAAATTACTCTAACCCTAATCTAAACCTAGAGAGAGAAGCTCTCCTAAAATTAATTAAGAGAATAATTGAATAATAGTTGCTTTGATAATTACCCAAAAATGGATATTTATACTAAGCTAAGAAAAATAGAAAATTAAAAAAAGAAAGAAAAGGAAAATAAAATAAAGAAAATAGAACTAAGGAATAAAAAATAGGAAAAGGAAAATTCCATAACCCTTCAAAGCCGAATTCAAGGGTTAAGGTAGCATTTTTTTTACTTTTCCTTATGAACAGTAAATTACCGGTTTTGCCCCTAATTCATGCTTATTTTTTCTGCTGAAAATCCTTATAAACAGTAATTTGGCGACTTTTCCCTTGCTTTATTAATTTTTTTAAATTTATTTTCCATTTTTTTGCACATGGAGTTGTCAGCTTAGAAACTCCAATCAGTGGTTTCTCTCTCCTCTCGAATCATCTGTATTCTCTCATACCTCCTTTTTCTCTCTCCTTCCTTCGCGATATTGCCATCGATCTATCAACAATGGTTAGAGGATCGCTCAAAAACTTGATGAGCAGATTGGTCAGCTTATGTAGTACAAGCCTCTTTCAGAACAAGAGGTTTTCATTCTTTCTCTTTCTTCAATTTGAATGTGCTAGATCCATTTTTTTTTCATCTATTTGTTAATTTTGGGATATTTGTTTTGTTTTTTAGGGTTTCTGGTACATGAAAATTTTGGGATTTTTGTTTTGTTTTTGAGGGTTTCTGGTTCCCGAAACAATTTAGGGTTTTTGCGTTTGTTTCAGGCAAGCTTCAACAATCTTCAATGGCGGACGATGATTACAATGACATGGATATGGGGTAACTTCTCTTCTAATTAATTCATTTTTTCGCGAATTATCGTATTTTTCACTAATTAAGCTCTTTCTCCTTCCCCTGCACACTGAACACTGATTAAAACCAGACTTTGAAGATTCTAAATTGCCATGGCACGAGCACAATATTGAAGATTCTGGAACGATTTCTTCAAGCTGAGAAATTCTTCAGTAAGCTCATCGAGAAAGAGGTATTTTCTGAGCTACTAGCTCTTTAATTTTTAATTCGAATTCTATCAGCTTTAATTTTGATTATTAGTAGTGTTGTTTTTCTTGAATTGATTAGAAAAATGTATGGGCTAATTTGGCTAATCATTTCTCTCACCTCGCGTTCTCTCTCTACAAATGGGTGTTTTCAGGTAAACTGGTGTTTTTCTTTTTAAGGAACAATTTTTATTGCTTAATTATTGTATTAAATGAGAAGGTTTTAGTTAGTGAAGTCGGGAAATCTGACTTATTTCAACATTTATTAGACAATTATTTCATGAATTGTTGGGAGAATTATTGTGGGTTTTACTGTTTACATTTATGTAAGTTGATGATTTGTGGGTTTGACATTTAATCGAAATTTTGGTGACCAAACCAACAAAGCAGCGATGATGAAGTCGAGGTTTCAGTCTTTGAGCTATTGAGGTTTTTGTGTTTATTATGAGCTAACTAAAGTACTTATTATTATTGTTAATTACGATCATGTATAAATTAGATCCAACCACCAAAAGGTATCATAGCTTGTGTTATGCTCTTCTTAGGATGAAATGAAATAATTGGTCACTTTTCATGACTTGGACTCAATTAATTGATTACAAGGAAACAATAGTTTATGAATTTTTAAGAATTTGAATGCTTCAAAATCTTGGATGAATAGTTAGTTCAATGATAACTGGTGTCAGTTCATGATATATCCCTGGTTTGTTACATGTTATTGTATCAATTGTATTTTTGTTTGAATGTAGACGGCTAAGTTTTAGAGTTTTATGTGTTGGTCATTAGTTTCTTTCTTAAAGGTTGATAGATATTCACTTTTTAATTGTGGTTTCTGAATCCAGATTTGAGAAGATTACACTTCAAAGGCCCAAATCATCATCTAATTTTAATCAAGTTGAAGATTCTAGAACGAGTTCTTCTGTATGATTTTCTTTAACTTGATCTATTTTAATCAAATTTTGTTCTGCTTAAATGTTGTTAATATAATCTTGTTATTGTTCTTTGATGATTTCTCTCAATTGAATTCTGCATTTCCAATTTTCTAGGTTGGTTATACCTTCGAAATGACTTATTAATGGCTAATTTAAAAAAAGAAGTGAATGGGTGTTTGATTATTAGTTCATTCAACTTGAATAATGTAGAAATGTTGAATATTTGCTTGTTGTATGTTTTGATTTTCTACTTAGTATCAGAATCTCGGTGATGTTCTTTGATAATCTCTTGTTAATAAGATAATTTTCATGCCAATTGGTTATGATGATTTATCAATGGGGAGTTAAGAGAAAGAAGTAGGTGGGTGTTTAATCTGTTTATTAAATTGGTGGTGAGAGGGAGCGAGTATAGTGAGAATTTGACCAAGCAAAAGATGAGTTTAATCCTTTTATAAATTTCTATCATTTTTTATAATGTTTAATCAATCTCAAATGCCATCTCTCTAGGTCGGAAAATCTTTCTGGAAGAATATCGAACTATTGAAGCTTGTGAAAAGCTTTGTGACATTACTCACTCTTATCTTGGTCCTAATGGTATCCCTCTGGGTTTTTTTTCACTGATTTATGATGGAGTTTTTTTTTATTTGCTGAAATTTGATATTTTTGCTGTTTTATTGACTGTTTTTTCCGATTATTTTAACTTTGTATCTAAACAGATTAACAAGGAAGATGGAGAACTTGAATTGAAACTGAAGTGATAAGTAAAGTGACATTTTCCGCTCTTTAGGACCTTTTAAATAGCAGCATCAAGTGAGTTTCATGCTCTCCAAGGCCTTTAGTTTCCAGTATCTTTCTTGTTTATGTTTAATCCATTACGCATGTTTAGTTTGGTGAATTCGAATTTTGGGTTTTGTTTATTTATACAATTAGATTAAAATCGTGTTTATGGGTGGGTATTGTTGGATTTCTGTTTAGAGTAGCTTAAAAAATTGAAGTTAGTTTGGTAATTAGATCCAAATAATGTGACTATTATCGATTGCACACTAGATTAAAGGTCACTTTTTTAATTAGATCCAAATAATGTGAACTATTTCGGAAAGCAGAAGATTAAGGTCACTTTTTTAATTATTCATCTTCCATATTTTCAATTGCTATTTTCCCCCAATTTTTAGAAATATTTGAAAATCCTAATTCTTCTATTTTCGTTTGATTGACATACTTTGTAGCGGTTGAGTTTATAAATCTGATCATCATGTCGCAGAGCTCTTTCAAGCTTCAACATTTGAGGCTACCAGTCTACAGGATTATATGGCCAGGTAGTTAATTAACTATTTTTCGGAAATTAGACCCACCAATTATTAGTTTATTACTCTCATACATTATAAGTATTTTTTAGCTGTTACTTTCAAATTGTAATTATATATAATGCAATTTGTTGAAAGAGTGTAATTTTTTATTTCCTTTGAAAAGAGAAGTGATTAATAAGTTATACTATGTAATATAAAATGGAGGAAGTATTAATTAATATGAGTCGGTCATTTATGGATGTATATGCTCAATGGTTGGTGTTCATGCTGCCAAGTTTACTCTTGTACTGTCAAAAACCATAACTTTGGACATAAATTTTGATGATTTTAATGTTCAAGTCATTGAAGATATACCTTGTCGAGTAAACCATCTTTTGTTTTTTTATATTATATTGATTCAATATTGGTGGTACTTTTGTGGTCTTTAATGATACATTGTATCTTATGATGATAGGATGAAAATGGTGAAATTATTTATGGTGGAGACGGTAAACCCTTGATTCTTACAAAAGGAACTGGTTTCATATCTGAAGATCTTGCTTTAAGGTGTCCCCATAATTGTCACAATGGTTACGTAAATGATAAAGAGAACATAGAGGTTTGCTGTGCCTGTAATAGCTCAATTTTACTTTCTTTAACCATATATTTGTTGTTGTGGAATATCAACTTTCTTAAAGTAGATAATGACCAATATGCTATCTGTTTTTACTGTTTCCTAAGCTGTGTTCTAAAAAGGCTAAATAGGGTGGTATTCTTATCTTGCTATGTATTTGTGCTCACTTCATGGCATCCTTTTGTTGGTTAATTAAGGTTGTATTAATATATGTTATGATAGATATCTCCTAGACTACGACAACCTTGTTGATTGATTCCTCACTATCTCAGGGCTTGAATGGATCTTTAGAAGTGTATCGATTTGCAAACATCTATTCTAGATTAGCTGATTTGAATTCACTCCCAGTTGTGTCGGTACTTACATTTACTACAACAATCATTGGATCTATCTATGTTTTAATGACTAATTATGCATTGTATTGATATATTCTTTTGTGTTGTCTCCAACTTCCATCCTTTGCTGATACAGTTTAATATGTTCTACAAAGGTCAAGTTATAAAGGGAACTGTTCTCGTGAACAAAAAGGTAACTTGTCCACTCATTCGAGTCTCGTCGCTTCACTTTTTAGGGGTGGCAAGCAGGGTGTCTTGGTTATGGTTATGCTGCCTTGTTGAGAATATAAAGTTCTATGTATTGTTCATCTTTCATTGTTCTGTTATTTTCGCCATTAATCCATGGAGCTTGCTATCCCACCATACTAAACACTACTCCTGATTTACTTTAGTGATAGCTTTTATGTTTTACTTTAGTGATAGCTTTCATTGTTCTGTTATCCCACCACAAAATACTTTAGTGATAGCTTTTATGTTTTACTTCCGTCAATAGATTCCTCAAGCATGGTTAAAATTCAACTCAATGGTACACACTTGAAAAAACTTAGAATTAAGGTCGGTATTGGGGGTTAGGGTTGTTTATGTTGGCACTCCCATGGTGGCTGTACGTATTATTCATAGTTGAAAGCCGTTTACAATGGCAAGAGCATCATTTTTAGCTAGAAATAAAAACATATTGAACCTAATTAGTTTGTATCAGAAAAAGGTATTATTTTAATGAAAGTACAAGAAAGAAAGCAATTCATGTTGAACAATTGAAATTAAATATAGGAAAAAAAATTTAAACAGACCATTCGATCCCATGGCACCGCCCCATTAGTCTTATTACAAAGATACGGTCATTATGCTTGAAGCAAAGCAATTTCATGGTTTGTCCTAGCAAAATCAGTATGGAGTACATTCTAATTGTATATGACGACCCCACAAAGAACTAGAACCTGTCCACTTTTCCAAATGGGTAATTCCTAAATGTCTTTTACCATTAATTTGATCAATTTATAGTAAGTTGTTCTTTTTTTTCTTTAATTTAAGTATTGTATGTTCGAATTTTATTTTCTTGGTTTTTTCCCGATTAAATATTAGGCTCAAGAAAAAAGGAAACTAAAGGTATGCCTTCATCAAAATAGGCTAAAGCTCGGTCCTGAAAGTAGAAGAATTAAAGGTCACTTTTTTAATTATTCATCTCCCATATATTCAATTCAATAGCATGTAGATTTTAATTTGAGATTAATAGAAAGGAATTTACTTTACTTTTTTTTTTTGGTAAAAATTGCAGAGGTGGAGACATGGAGTAAAGGAAAGCAAAAGCTTTTATAAAATGGTTTGCTTCCTAAATAGCAAGAAGCTTTTATGTTGCTAAGCTTGTGTTTAATTCCAATTATAACAGTTATGTTGCTCAAATAAGTACCAACTTGCTGCATTAGGAATTCAATGCAAAGCAATTAGATTTTGGGCTTGGCAAAGGGGGTCCCGAGGAAGCTAAGGTAAAGTTCATGTATCTACCCCCATGATGGGGACCTATGAGTTATTGAGTTGAAAATATTTTGGTGAACAAGAAGAATGGAAAATGGTGCTTGGTTGATGATTTTTATGGAGAGAAAGAGTCCTTTATAGGAGCGAGGAAGTTGATTGGAAGAGAGGAAAGCAAAGAAATCTTGGGCAATGGAAATTAATAATATAGAGAAGAGGATGTAATTGCTAATTATGGATTGATTGTCTTGCAAAACAGGACTGTATATTCTACTGTATTTCGTTTGAGATTCTTGTATGTTGATTTTAAGTTCAATCAATTAGTCCTTTGTTCATAATGGGGATTGGGATTAATTTTTGTGGTGTAAGCATGTTAATTGTGATGGGTTTAGCTTATAAAGTTGGGATTTCTGTTAATTATATGATTTTCTTTGTGTATGATGTTCGGTAGTTGCGGTTCAACTCAATATTGGGAGTAAAATTATAATATTTGGGATTTGCTAATTGAAGTGGGTGAAATTAGATGTGTTATACTATTCTATTAGTTTTGTATACTTATGTTACATGCATAGAACTTATAAAGAAATTTCCCCCGAGGTTGTATGTGGGAATTAGAGGTGGATAGGGTTTTGAATTTCTAGATTTTTTGTTAATCAAATTTTAGTTCAGAAGATATGAATTTCAGATTTGCCAAGAACAATAATTAATGGTTTTTACTCATGAGGCTTTGATGCTACAGGTTGTAAAGTTTGGTTTTTTATGAATTTTGTGAATCGTGAAGTAGTTTAGAACTATTTTCTAACCATGTAGATGATTGGGATGTCGTAGGTTAGTAATTTTTATGGATAGTGTTCTTTATTGAATTTAAAAATAATTTTTATTGTTCTTGTTGTTGGATGAAAATAGTGAATTGAATTGTACTATAATGAACACATAGAGGGGCTGGGAGCTCACGCAATTTATTTACTTTTTTAAATATGAGGGTTTGAAAGTGAGAATACGAGGAGCAAATCGTTCATGGGATTATATTTGAGTAATAATATTTTTTTTTTGGTCAAATTATGTCTTGTAGTAGCTTGTAATTATAATGGCATTTGTTTCCTTTAGTTAAGGTGTTGACTTCATTGTTCTTTAATTTTTCAGAAAATCAGTTGTTGGGGAATCTCAGCCATTTTCCGTTTGTTTCCCCCTAATTTTTCTTCTCACTTTTGTTTCCATTTTCTGTTGCCATTGTTGCCAACACCTCTATCGTCTACTGCCAAAACCTCTCAGGTTTCATTTTCCTCAACGGCTTGCTGAGGTAATTTGGTTCATTTCTCATCCCCTTTTTTTCCTAATTCTAGAATAATGATGCTGAATGAATAATGGGTTCTAAGAATTGGTTTTGGGGTCTCTTTATTGTGGGATAGGGTCTGATGCTCAATGATGAGAATCATTAGATAATAGTTGCCTAAGATACAATTGTTCTTGAGTGATTTTGAAATTGTCTCTCGGGAATTTGTCTTAAATTGTCGTGCCTTGCTTCTTACTTGTGATGCAGTTTGTTGGGTTATGCTTTCCCAATCAAGGGATGGCAACTGCATGTGATATGCCTATTTCTGTTTTGAAATTTGACACCTCTTTAGAATGATAAATAGACGGGGAAAGGTACCAGTATAGAAGAACATTTTCAGGTTATTGTTATGGGGTCCAGATGTCTGGGACATTATTTCTCAGGGTAGTGCTTTTTGGTCAAATAAATTTTGCAAAGAGTTAGCTTGAATAAGATACTTAGGAAAAAGGTCAATGAATTTTTCTATAATCTATACTTCTTTCTATGTAGTGAGCAGCTTAGGTCTTGTTTTGATGTTTCTAGGGGCATTAAAATGTGTAGTTCTCTTTTTTTCATTACTCTGTACCATGATGATTTACGTATTGCCACAATGTGCAGGTCTTGTTTCGATGTTTCTAGGGCATTAAAATGTGCAGTTCTTTTTTTTCATTATTCTGTACCATGATGATTGATGTACTGCCACAATGACACATTTTCCACATTGCTATTTTGGTGGATTCTTTTTAGGGTAGCATTTGTCTGAACTTTATTTTATATCATTAATAAAGAAAGGAAGGTTTAACACAATGTTATGCTATCACATTTTTCATGTTGTGACATGAGCGTGACGCCATTAGTTTCCATTGTGATTTTCAAAAAAATTTGAAGATTCTAGGTGGCAGTACTTGATGGGTAGAATGGCTCATTTTGTGTAAATTTCTTGTTTGTTTTGGTTCCTTTGTGATATATTCAGAGCTTCCTTGTAGCCTTTTTTCCCTTAAAAAAATCAGTTATTTATTGGAGGGTTTGACGTCTCATGTCATCTACCGCTCAGGTTGACGTTCCAACTTTGGTTCCAATGGAAGGAATTGATTCTCTTGGACAAAGTCAAATACTAAAACGGGTCCTTCAAGTCCGGTTTCATCATCATCTGCTACCCTTAAAGTTTTCATTACAGTGCAATGGAAAGAATTACCCTGTCAAGTGCGACCTGATATTGGATACTTTATAATGCCCTTAAAATGGATGTTCCAGAATTTAGAAATAAGGAATCACAGTTGCCTGGCATGTTTGAATATGTGAGAAGGTATGCCCCTTGATTATATTTGTTCTTACTCCTGTTTTTTTCTTGATTACGTGAGCTACCTGATTATCTAACTACATAAATTTGTTGAACTGCATGTGCGGATGATCAACTTAGCTGATTACAATCTTGAGAGGTGGTACTCAACATAGACATGCATGCTATCATTAAACTCTTTTTTTAATAACACTTTAGCTTGTCCTAAAACATGAATTGTAATAAAAACTTGTTAAATGGAAGCCAGAGTACATATGGAAGAATAGTCACATTCATGATTGTAATTGCAATTTTTTGGGTTTATACCAAAATTCAGAGTTGTTTAAAAAAAATATGTTGAGTTTCTCAAGCAGATATATGGGAAGACAACAAGATACTGCGCAAATTGCAGTAATCTTGCATTTTGCTCATCTTACTCACCCTAATTCCTGAATCTGATGATAACCTAGATTTTAATTTTGTTCATTCTTTGATTTTTTTTCAATTTTTGGAGAATTGAGGAAGAATTTTATGAGTGTAAAATTGCTGGGGTGTTTTGGGGATCGTTGCCCAGTTTTCCACTCTATTTCTCTCTCCTTTGATTATGAATATCAACATTAAACGGACCTCTCCCAAATTCCAAACCCTAAACCCACAACCTTAACCCTGAATTTTGGGTATTTTTGCTGAATCTTGAATATGTTGCAGAGGCGATGATGTTGCTTTGAGTTTTCCTAAATATTGATTTTCAAATTCAGGCATTGGAGATTGGAAGGCATTCTCTCTCCACATAAATATGTGGCTATTGCTTCTTGTTGTTATTGTTGTTGTTGGGCAATAGCTTTCAATGTCCTCTTTATGCCTGAGCTATAGAAAAAAATAAAATAAAATAAAACTGAGCCTCAATAATTAGATGTTCAACGATGGAAATGACAACATAATTTATTTTTCCTTCTGGAAATGGCATCTAAGTTGCATAACTGGTATGATTTCGGCTGAAGAATATTAACTTTTGGATTGAGGAAATCTTTAAACAGGTGGCTCTCCAAGTTTAATTCTCTCCTTAAGTGTACATTTCTATGCTATGCAATCCCTTACGATTTGGTTCAGATCAAAGTTGTCCTTGTATGAACCCAAATTTACGCACTAACATGAAAGTGGTGAGGCAGTGGGCTTTAAGGGCGGAGAGCCTTTGGGAGTTCCGGGAGCTGTTGAGATTTGGGTTTGATTTTGGAAGGAGTTTGAATTGCTGAAAACCTTCTACAACTTATCATCAGTGTGATTAACATGATGCCCTCATGTTTGATACTTAGCCTTTGATTCTAAAAGTCTTTGCTTATGGATCATCATCCGCTGATGTGTGTGTGTTTTCTTTTTAAAATTAATCTCTTCAGTTATGGATCATCATACGCTGATGTGTGTCTTTGCTTATGGATCATCATTCGCTTATGGATCATCATACTTAGCAGTTTTTTACTCTTTTATCTTTTTTTTTTTATATATATAATGGCGTTATAAGATCTCCACGACCTCATGTTATTTTATTCTGTTTTCAGTGCTTAAGGAGGTAAGAGAGATGCTGGAATGAAGTGTGATCCTACAAGGTGGAAGCCGAGGAAGAATTCTATGAAGACATATCATGTCATTTAACGGATTGGACTAACTGTATTTATTTTATTTTACGTATCATAATCTGTAATCTTTTGCAAAATTTCAATTGTTTTTAGGGAATAAGTGTCAACAACTTATCCATTGCTTATGTAGCAGGCTCAGTTTTAATGGTTTAAAGGTTCAAACTATTATGATTGAGCTAGCAGTTCAACTAAAGTTTTTTCATTAGAAACAGTGCGGATTGCTAAACTTTGAGCATTATTTTAGCACGTATATTAACTTCTCCTTGGTTTTAATGGCTCTCAAAATTATGTCAAAAGAATTTTTACTGGGGTTCCACCTATTTTGATACATGTAAGGAATAACTTTGTAGTTAAATTACTTCAGAATTATTGGGACAGACTAATTTTCGTTATTGCAATGTTGAGGTTTTAGCACAATTTATATGGTGTTTGCAATTAGTTTAGTTTTTAAAGTTTTAAACAATCATTATTGGATGCTTTAAAGTTTAATCTAATTTGTATTTTGCAAAGTTTAATTATATTTAAAGTGTAAGTGTAACCCATTGTGAGAATACTTTTCCTTGGGAAATGATTATGGATTTTTTATGAAACAGGGGTAGTCTATTATCCAAAAGATAATAAATTGATGGTTAAGGATAACTAACTATTAAGATCCAATTTATTAACTTTTTTTTTTTTTTTTTGAAAACCAATTTATTTACTTTGTTCTTTCAGTTATGTGTCTTGTGTATTATTGGTTATAAAAGTGATGAACAAATTATTTTATGGGAGACGTAATTTGTATATACTTGTAAGAGTGAGTAAATTTTTTAGGGGAACAATATAAACTATTTAGGATTGATAGTTTATTTAAAGGTGAGGTTCGGTTAGGGGTTACTTAAGAAGTTCGGTTAGGAGTTACTTGAGGGTTCAGTTAGGGGTTACTTGAGGGGAGGGGTTACTCGAGTGGCTAAATCATGGATTAATTAAGGGGTTACTCGGTTATGGGTCACTTAAGAGGTTACTCGGTAAGGAGTACTTCAAGTTGTAACCCTTGCCAAGTAACCTAAGTAACCCCAACAATTTAAGTAATCCCATATCGAGAAACTCGATTAACCCTTGTTGCATGGTACAACAGGCTGCATATAAAAATTTGTGATTTTATAATATAAAGTATAGTTAATGAGATACATTTATTTGTTTGTAGGAGTAAGAGAAAAAAAAATAAAAAAAAAATAAAAAAAGTGTAAATGGAGTAGGTTAGAGAGAAATAATAAAATAGTTGTGGACTCTTACCAAAAGAAAGTAGTGTTGCAATTATAATGAAACGGGTTGTGGCAGGGTTTACTTGAGTTATCTTGTTAGGGGTTACCCGAGTTATTTAGTCAGGGGTTACTCGAGTTACTCAGTCAGGGGTTATTTGAGGGGTTGGGACAAGGGTTTTTCAAGGGGTTCACTCGATCAAGGTTTACTTGAGGGGTTCACTCGGTCAAGGGTTACGTGATGGGTTACTCGATCAGGGGTTTCTTGAGGGGTTTGGACAGGGGTTTCTCGAGAGGTTCACTTGGTCAAGGGTTACTTGAAGGGTTACTCGGCCAAGGGTTACTCGAGTTACTCAGTCAAGGGTTACTAGAGGGGTTACTCGGTCATGGGTTACTCGAGCTACTCAGTCAGTGGTTACTTGAGTTACTCAATCAGGGATTATTTAAGGAGATTGGCTAGGGGTTACTTGAGGGGTTACTCAATCAGGGGTTGCTTGAGGGGGAGGACGTACTCGGTTATGGGTTACTCAAGGGGTTCAGTCATGGATTACTCGAGGGGTTACTTAGTCAAGCTAAGGGTTACTTGAGGAAGAGGTTCACTCGGTCAAGGATTACTCAAGTAATTGGTCAAGGGTTACTCAAGCTACTCAATCAAGGGTTACTCGTGAAAGGAATGGTGTCCTTCGAACAAGTGTATTATTCTGATAGCGGGTTCAGAATTATTAGAAAGCTAATACATTCAGTAAGGTCAAGTGATCGGAATGTCTGGGTGGAGACCGCTTCCGATCAGTAATATTAATATAATTAATATTACAGCTTAATCTTGACTGAACCCTTCGGGTCACACCCAAGCAAAATATACGAACCGACTCGACGAATTAATTCGGAAGAAATTAATTCGTCGCCCGAGTGTTAAATATTTAGACGTCGGTAATTCGAGCTTGGAGCGTCGAAACCGATCGTCGGAAGTCGAGTCAAAAATAATAAAAAGACGAGACACGCAAAATAATAATAAATCGACCATATTCCCAAAATACCCCTAGCATCGGAGTGCCCCGAGCATCCGAATGCTAGGGGAAAAAATGTCCAAGCATAGGTGGCTAGCAAGCGCACCAAGCCGAGCCTAGCATGGCTGGCTAGGTGCGTGCTAGCGCACCGTGCTAGCAGCCACGCACAGCAGCAGCGTGCACGTGGTGCGTGCAGCAACTAGCTGCCGCAAGCTAGGCGTGCTAGCAGCGCACGCACTAGCAGCCACGCTCAGCAGCAAGCCCGCACCAAGTGCGTGGCTTGCGCGCACAGCAGAAGCCCGCAGCTTGGTGCGGGGCTGGGCTCGTGGCTGGGCCATAGGGCCGGTCACTATGGGGAAGCTTGAGGAATATGGGTGCAAGTGGGTAAGGACATGTGGCACAAGGAGAGTATTGAGTGGGGAGCAAGTATGGTCCCCTACTCTCCATGTGGTCCTCACCAACAAATTTCACATGGTAACGCCACTTGTAGATTTATTATTAGTTTGCAATTTTAATTTAATTTAGCTTTAAATTAATTTGTGGAATTTCATGATCCCACATTGATGGGATAGAAATTCCCACTCATACTTTCCTCTATAAATACCAACCTTTGGATTTGGAGTAAAGTGCTTGAGTGGGAGTTAGAAAGAGCATTCCATATTTTGGAAAAACTCTTAAACTCCATTAACACTTGGGTTTTGGTCGGACCTTGCTAACTCCAAGGTAGCGGACCTAAAAAGTCGTGTTCGTCCTTTGTGGGTGGATACCGTTGGAGGCACGACATTTGCGGTGCTCAAGGCTTTCAAGTAAGAGCCCATTTTGAGAGGGCGAAGCTCGCTTCAAGGGTATGATTCGTTCTTCCTTTTCTTGTGCTTATTTATTTATGCTTTATGGTTTTATTAATTACGAGTGGTTCCTTGGGTCGGGGTTGTTTCCGCGGTGAGTCGGACTCACCAAACCCCAACAGCGGTATCGGAGCCTCGCTCGTTTATTTTTATAATCATGTTTTTCAAGGTTTATTTTGGCTTATTTTTCTGGTTTAAGTTGCTAATTAGATTAGTAGCTCGGTTTTATTTATTTTAATCCCGTTTTTAATGTCGAATTTGGCCCAGAACCCAGATTTTCGCCCAAAAATAGTGAATTTTGGGTGGAAAAGGTGTTCTGGAAAGGTTTTTACTCCATAGGGGCTGTGATTTTAGCCAAATTCTGAGCAGAAATGCCTTTTTTGAGGGATTTTTCGTTTTTGACGAAAAGTTTTAAGTCTTTTCTAACCTTGAAATTAATGGCATAACTTGTTGATTGTTTGGTTGATTATTTGCATTATTTTCTGCATTTTTATGTCCCCTTGAAGCACACTTAATTGGTAGTATTTGATGCTTAAAGGTTGATTTATTTTCACATAATTGCAAACTAATTTCTTTTTAGTGTGAAATTTTTTGTTTTGAGGCTTCCTAAGTGTTAAAGATTCAATCTTTATTTGTGATAAGTGATTGAAACTTTAAAAACCACTAAATTCCATGTTATTTTGTGTTAAACTTTGTTGCTTTAATCATTTTGAGTTGATTGGAAACATAAAGTTTCAATTTTTGTGATAGAAATTTGGTTGTTTTCATGTTGGAAGATATAATTTTCAAGGATTCACAAAATTTAGATGTTGGAATTTTCATTTGAACATTAAATTTCATATTTTTCCAACTTCCCCTTACTTTGTCAAATTCTCAAGTTTAATTTAAATTGATTAAATTAAAAGTGAGAAATTGCCTCAACTTTGTTATTGCACCAAGCTAAACCAATTTAATTAAGAATGGTTCTTGGAATTATTTTGGTTATTTGCACTTTGAAATTTTATTAAGTTAGACTTGTTTAAAATTTTATTTTTTTGCTCATTGAGTTAGTTCTAAAATTAATTTAGAATTAATTAATTATATCTCGCGAAATGGGATCAAATCCCGAGGCCATGGCGCGCAAAACGAGGCAAAGAACCACCCTTGGCTAGCCGGGCTGCATAGCAGCCCGCATGTGGCTGCCAAGGTGGCTTCCCCGCCTTGCGTGCGGCCACACACGCGGCAGCAGCACACGGCCGTAGCAGCCACGCACCAGCAGCCATGGCTGTGCGTGCGCGTGCGTGCGACAGTGGCAGCAGCCCATGGCTGCTTGCCGCGAGCCGTGTGTGCGGAGTTTTTTGTGTGTGCATATGCTTGGTGCGGTGAGGTGAATAGCCGTAGTATGCTTGGTTTGCATGAGCCGCGATTATTCGAGTTTCCTTGGCAAAACTCTTAAAGCGAAAGCCACTTGAAATGCGGTTGGCTTAATATTGCTTATTTTGCCGTTTTATTTATTTTAATTAAAATTTTGGGAGGCTAGGCCTCGGTTTTGAGCGGCATTGGAAAAATTTTATTTTGACAAGTTTGGGTGCTACCGACTTAATTAATTGGATTAATTAAGGGAAATACGGAATTTAGTGGGAGCTTCAATTAATTAATGACGTCAAATTACATAATCGGTTAAAAAACTTTGACTAGTTTTAATTAGGTGTGTTAATCGGATTAACCACCTAGATTAGTTACTAGTGCGTGCGTTGTTTAAATGCATTTTACTTGTTTGATATTGTAAATTGCATGGGCCATCCACAAATAGTGAATGGATGAATTGAATATATATTC